ATTTGGTTGTTGCTTTGTTTCTTAATGTTTACATCATACCTGAAAATACTGATGTTGTAATGTATTGCAGGCGAACAAGGTCCCAGTCATGCCCCTTTTGTCGTGACAGTCTCAAGAGAGTAAACTCGGGAGATCTCTGGGTATTTACTGACAGCCGGGACATTGTGGACACGGCCACCGTGACTAGAGAGAATCTTAGAAGGCTTTTCATGTATATAGATAAGCTGCCGTTGATTCTTCCTGACAACCTTTTCGACTTGTATGATTCTCATATAAAATAGGTGATGAGTACAGCCAGGAATCGCCATCTCATATGGTCTTTGGATGAGCAGTACACTTCCTTTTCTTAATATAACATAATCGCTGGAATTCATTTGGCAAAATTTAGGGCGCCTAGAATTTCAGCAGTGTCTTCCCACTTCCTGTCAGAAGAAAATCCAGCCCGAGTTATTGTGGGTTGGCAGGTGAAGTTGATTTAGTTAAAGACGGGGTTTTATAAAATTGTATCTAGCACATTTGTACATCCTTGTATAGCTTGAAGCTTGCTTATAAAAGCTCAGCAATTTCTCTCTACCTCACTCTATCCGTGTCTTGGGAACAACAGTCTCTTTTCGATTCACTGTAAACTTGCTAGGTTGTTCCTTAAAACTAAAGAAATCTAATTGACACTATGTTTTTAGAGTACTTTACAATTTTTTATATAAATATATTAAAAAAATAAAAAAATTAATTAAAAAAAACTTAAATTCCTTGAAAAACTCGGCATGTCAGCTGGAAGTGAAGCCCATACTGGATGAACAGATAAAAGCTCAACGCGCTCTCTTGTTTTAGAGATTTTATACAGCAGCCTGATGGAATGTCACGTCGAGCCTTTTCATCTTAGAAGATCATGCTGAATCGAATTTTTGTAAGAGTACACGGACAGATTCACAGTGTGTCACGGCCCATGAATTTGAGGTACAGCATCCAACTTTCATGGCGTGGCAGCCGAGAATCAAAGGCTGGGACGCCTTCCTTGTTCACTCTCGGGGGAGCGGGGTTGGATACGGATATGTGCATGTCAATTTTCGGGATTTAAAAAAAAATCAGAATTTAGGCCTGTAATATTAACAAACAGTATATGTTTTATTTTATTTTATTGTTTTTAAGGAAAAATGAGCATTATAAACAAATAAGAGGGGCAGTTAAGGTATTACCAATGCCATTGAAGGGTTTTTTTTTTAAAAAAAAGAAAAAGGCAAGCTTTATATGACTTTTTCTTTCTTTCTCCCTTTGCTTATCCGTCAACACAAGTATTATACAGATTAAATAATTTTCTTTTGTTGATTCAAATGTAAAAATAAATAACTAGTAAATTAAGACATGTTTGATTGGTTCATATATATATAAAGCTTGCCTAGTTATTTTTTTTTAAAAAAACCCTTCAATGGCATTATTAATATATATATATATATATATATTTGAATTTACTAAATTGGTTATTGGTTATTTTTTTGTTTTTTTATAAAAAAAAAAAACAATAAAATACAGTTATAACCCTTAAAGAGAAAAAAAATAAGG